ACGAAATGGAGATCTTTGCCATCCACTCTGCTTAACAGAAGGAATGTGGGAGCTGACGGGGGCGTCAGGTGGGAATTATCAACATGAGACCCTCAAGTTGACCCTGGGTGTAGGAGGGCCTATCGAGAGAGCTGTATTAAGTGATTGAATGATTTCTGTGGTAAACCCTAGTCACAATTTCCCTTTTCAACCTTTGGCAAAATTTATGCTCTTATTAATACTTTACAAAGCATGTTTTCTGTGTGGGACAACAGGTGTAAACGTGGAGTCCAGCTTTGAGGTTAGTGTGTATGAAAATCCAGGAGACATGATTCTACAAATCCAGTAGGGCAGGCCACAGGTGCTCTTGGCCTGACTTGAAGATGGTCCAGGTCATCGGGAAAGCTCTCCTGCTTTCTGATAATATGGATGCCCATGTGTCACCCTGCCAAGCAGGAAGTAAAAGCAAAGGGTTTCTTTCTAGGGCTCCTTGTGGAATGTGGAGAATAAGCCACAGCTTTCAAAAGCCACACTGCCTTCTATGTGGGTTCTTTAGAGTTTATTATTTGCTAGTCTCTAGTCTTTGTCAGTCTTTTCTTTCTTCTTTTCCTCCGCCCCCCACCCTTTTCCAACTGTTCTAGCCTGGTCTCAGCTGGGCTGGTTTAGAGGACAAAAGGAACCTTGTTTCAAGGTGGAGCCAAAGAGATAGCAGGGCAATAGCTCCTCTGTGTGGCTGTTTCAGAATAGCAAGAAACACTGACCCCGAGTATACTCAAGGGAAGGGGGAAATGCAAAGAAATGGTTATGGGAGACATAACTGTCACTGTTATCACTAAGGAAGGTGGTGTTTTTCTTTGACCATCATCTCTTTTTAGAACCATGGAGTTATAAACGATGAATGGAAATGGGATGAAAATACAAACTCAGGATATCCCCTCAAATTTTATTTTTGCTTGACAAATAATAATTGTATATATTTCTGGGGTATGTGTTTTGATGCATATATRCATTATATGATGTTCAATTTAGGGTAATTAGCATATCCATCATCTTAAATATTTACCATGTTTGTAGTAACAATACTTATAACCCTCTTTTAACTATTCTGAAATATAAAAAATATTATTAACCACGTTACCTTACTATACAGTAGAATATCAAAGCTTATTTCTTCTGATTATACACACACACACACACACACACACACACACACACACACACAGGGGATTGAACCCAGGGATGCTTTTTCATTGAGCCACAACCCCCCCTTTTAAAAAATATTTTTTTAGTTGTTGATAGACTTTTGTTTATTTGTATGTGGTGCTGAGAATTGAACCTAGTGCCTCACACATGCCAAGCAAGTGCATTACTGCTGAGCCACAGCAACAGCCCTCCTCTTATTTATTTATTTTAATTTTAAGACAGGGTTTTACTAAATTGTTTGAGGCTGGCCTCAACTTGAGATCCTTCTGCTTCAGCCTCCAGAGTCACTAGGAGTAAGGTATGCATACATGGCTATCTGACTATAACTCTGTAGCCAAAAAGCAACATCTCCTCTWCCCCTTTCCAGGGTTCTGGTGACCACCATTTGACTCTATCTCTGAGTTTAACCTTCTTAGATTTACATATAAATGACATCATGTGTTACCTGCTTCTTCTTGCCTGACCTGTTTCACTTAATGTAATGTCCTCTAGATTCATCCATGTTGCTGTAAATGACAGAAATTGCTTTTGTTTTGCTAAAACTGAATAGTATCTGTGTGGTGTGTGTGTATGCATGTGTGTATACATAGATACCACATTTTTAAAATCTACTTACACTTACATTGTTTCCATTTCTTGACTGTTGGGAACCATCTTATAAGGACATTGCAGTGCAGATGTCTCTTTAACATTCTGAGTTCAATTCTTTTGGTTATGTACCCAGGAGTGGGATTACTGGATCATATGGTAGTTCTAGTTTTAGTTTTTTTGAGAAAACTTCACATTATTTTCCATAAAGCCTATACTAATTTGCATCCCTACCAGTAAGTGTATAAGGGTTCCCTTTTCCCCACATCATCAGCAACATTTATCATGATCTTATATATAGAAAAGTCCTAAATACTCCAGGGGGAAAACAAAAGCTGGTTAKAACTGATGAACAAACTCAGCAAAATTGCAGGGTTCAAAATCAACTTATAACTGTCAGTATCAGGGGCTTGGAATATAGCTCAGCGACAGAGCACTTGCCTGGCACGTAAAAGGCCCTGGTTTCAATCCCTAGCAGCACACATACATGAACACACATAAAAATAATAGGAATACATTTAACYAATTGTTTATATCTACAAGATCTAGGTACTGAAAATTATACAACACTGATGAAAGAAATCAAATATTATGCAAATAAATGTAGAGATACCCCATGTTTATAGGTTTGAAGAATATTGCTAAAATGTCTGCTCTACCCAAATTGATCCACAGACTAACTACAATCCCTTTCAAAATGGTAATGTAATTGTTCACCAGAATACAAAAGAAAGAAAGAAAGAAAGAAAGAAAGAAAGAAAGAAAGAAAGAAAGAAAGAAAATAAGGGAATTCTAGCTGGGTAGTGATGCACACATATAATCCCAGTAACTAGAGAATGAGGCCAGCCTCAGCAACTTAGTGAGTCTCTAAGCAACTTAGTGAGACCCTTCTCAAAATAAAAAAATTAAAAATTACTCTAAATGGGGATGTGGCTCAGTGGTTAAGCACCCCTAGGTTCAATCCCTGGGACACACACACACTCCCAAATAAAAAGGAGAAGAAAAGATGAAGGTGAAAGAGAAGAAGAGGATGAAGAGAAAAAAGAAGAAGAAATTCTAAAATTTGTATGGAATTATATAGACCCTGAATAGGCAAAGCATTCCTGACCAAAAACAAAGCTGGGAGCTAGTTGTATTAGAGAATGACTGTAATCCTACAACTCAGGAGGCTGAGTCAGGGATATCGTAAGTTCAAGACACCAGCCTCAGCAACTTAGTGAGTCCCTGCTTCAAAATTAAAAACAACAATGACAACAACAACAACAACAACAAAAACTAGATGTAGCTCAGTGGTAGAGCACTCCTAGGTTCAATTTCCAATTTTATCACCACCACCACCACCACCACAAAGAACAAAACTAGAGACAACATATTGCCATATTTCAAAATATATTACAAAGTTAAAATAATCAAAACAGCATGATACAAGCAGAAAACAATCAACCAAAGGAATAGAATAGAGAGCCAACAAATAAACCCTTCTATCTAAAGTGAATTGATTTCCTTTAACTTTTTAATTTATGCATTATAATTACACATATAGTTGCATTTATTGTGACATTGGTACATAACATGATTGGTAAATTACATTCTCTGGTATTTTCTCTTTCCCTTCCTCTACTGGTCTCCCTTCTAATTTCATAGGATCCCTCACCCTTTGTTTTCCCTTTTTAGTTTCCACATATGAGAGAAAACAAGACTCTTGACTTTCTAAGTCTGGCTTATTTCACTTAACATAATGTTCTCAAGTTCTATCCATTTTTCTACAAATGACATAATTTTATTCCTTATAGCTGAGTAAAACTCCATTGTGTGCATAGACTACATAATCTTTATCCATGCATCTGTTGGCAGGCACCTAGGTTTGGTTCCATAATTTGACTATTGTGAATTACACTGCTATAAACATGGGTAGGCATGTACTACTACAGTATGCAGACTTTAATTCTTTTGGATAAATATTGAGGAATGGTGCACTGTTAAGCCAGGATGCAAAGAAAAGACCACTGACTCCAATTAAAATCAAATTAAAACAAGCTTATTATTTTGACCGGCTGGGCTGTCTCTCCCCAAAACCATGGGAACCAGAGACAGCCCTCCTGCTCTCCAGGAGTACAGCTTTATAGCACAGAAAGTTACACAAAGGGGGCTTGAGAACCTACAGAATTTTGACAAGAATAACACAAAGGCTAGTTCATATTTTGCTGRCCCGGACATCGGAATTTATGAAGGTTGAATTTATGAAGGTCATGGGAGAGCCTCAGAGAGGGTCGTTATCTGGCCAGGGAAGGTCAAGATTTACAAGGCGCCACTAAAGTTTCAGAGAGGGTTGTTGTCTGGTTAGGGAAAGCCGGGCATGGGTGAGTTCAAGGCACGGCAGGTATTCCAAGCAGTTTTACAACATCAAATTACAGCCAGGCTATACAGAAATCCTAATATTTTACAGAAAACAGAAATGAATCCTTTATAACTTGTGACAAGATGGCTCCTGATCTTAAGAGGCAATTAGGCTAGGTTTATCAATAACTGAGTCTTAGGGTGGCTCTATTCCTAGTCTTTTGAGGAAACTCTATATTGATTTCCAAGGTGATTGTATGAATTTTCAATCCCACCTAAAGAGTATAAGTTGTTCTTTTCCCCCCACATTCTTGGCAGCATTTATTATAATTATTATTTGTAGTAGCAGTACTAGTAGTAGTATTGGAAATTGAACCCAGGGCCACTCTACCAATGAGCTACCTCCCCAGCTCTTCTGACTTTTGCCATATTTCAAACTATATCACAAAGTTATAATTTTGAGACAGGATCTTGCTAAATTAGTTACTAAGGTGGTCTTTAACTTGAGATCCACCAGCCTCAGCCCCTTAAGTAGCTGAGATTACAGGCATGCACCACCACGCCCAACTATTATTTACAATCTTGATGATTGCTATTGTAAATGAGATAAAAAATCTCTGTGTAGTTTTGATTTGCATTTCCCTGATTGCTAAAGATGTTGAACACTTTTTCAAATATGTGTTGGCCACTTTGTATATCTTCTTTTTGGCACTGTTTAATTCATTAGGTCAATAGATTTTTGAACAAAGATGCTAAGAAAAAAAATGGGAAATGGATAGTCTCTTTAACAAATGGGGCTGGGAAAACTGGATATCCACATACAAAAGAACAAAAGTGAACACTTATCTCATCACTTGTACAAGCATAGACCCAAAGTGGGTAAAAGACTTAAACTAAGGCCCAGAACGATAAAACGACTAAAAAGAACATGGAGGGAAATTTCCATGACATTGGTCAGAGACTGCTCAGATATGTTCACAAAACATAAGCAATGAAAACAAAAACAGACACATGGAATGGCATCAAACAAAAAGCTCTTCACAGCAAAGAAAACACAGTGAAGAGAACGCACAGGCTGGGAGAAAATATCTGCAAATCATGAATTCAGGAGATAATACCCCCAATATTCAAGGAACTCAAACTGCTCAAGATAACAAATATCCCTACTTAAAAAAGGGCAAAAGATTTGAACAGATGTTTCTCAGTAGACAAATGACCCAACCAGGTGTGGTGGCATGCACCTGTAATCCTAGCAGCTTGGGAAGCTTGGGCGGAGGATCTCAAGTTCAAAGCCAGCTTCAGCAATTTAGTGAGGGCCTAAGCAACTCAGCAAGACCTGTGTCTAAATAAAAAAAAAAAAAAAATCAAAAAAGGGCTTGGGATGTTGCTCAGTGGTTATAGCACCCTGTGTTCAATCCCTGGTACCCCCCCCCAAAAAAAGATAAATGACCAACAGATATATCAAAAAATGTTCAATATCTGTTAGAAAAATGCAAGTACAATATCACCTTATACATATTAGATTTACTATAATCCAAAAGATGAACAATACACTTAAGGTTTTAAAGCTAGGAATGCATTTTGTTATGCATAAACATTGTATCATATGCAATTTTTTGTGGATTTTTTGGTTGGTACCATGGAGGATTAATCAATGAGCCACATCCCCAGTTCTCTTTTATATTTTATTTGGAGAAAGGGTCTCAATCATTTGCTGAGGCTGACTTTGAACTTGAGATCCTCCTGTCTTAGCCTCCCGGATCACTGGGATTACAGGCATGTGCCACTGTGCCTAGCTGTTGAGTGATTTTTTTCATCTGATAGGGAAATGTTTTTTATTTTTTCTAGATAGTTATACATGGGAAATGTTTTTTATTTTTTCTAGATAGTTATACATGTCAATAGAATGCATTTTTTTTTTGTTTTTATTACCTATATTTCTTTTATTTATTTCTTTCTTACATACATGACAATAGTGGAATGCATTACATATAATTATCCATTCACAGCAAAATTTTTCATAACTCTGTATATAAAGTATGTTCACACCAAATTATGCCATTATACATGAGCTCTCTTTTTTTGCATTACAATTTTAATATACCACAATTTATCGTATCTGTTTGTATATAAGGTCAGAATACATTTTGATACATCATATATAAATGGAGTATGATTTCTCATTCTTCTTATTGTACATGATGTAGATTACATCAGTCATGTAATCATATGCATATAGGCRCGCATAATGTCCAATTCATTCTAATATTCTGCCTATTCCAATACCCCCTCCCCTCCCTTTACTCCCCCTGTATAACACAAAATACCTCTATTCTTCCCTAGCTACACCCAATAATTATTGTATAAAACAAGCAGTGGGATAGCTGGGTCAAATGGTGGTTCCATCCCAAGTTTTCTAAGGAATCTCCATACTGCTTTCCATATTTGCACCAATTTGCATTCCCACCAAAAATGTATGAGTGTACCTTTTCCCCTACACCCTCACCAACATTCATTGTTGCTTCTGTTCTTGATAATTGTCATTCTGACTGGAGTGAGATGAAATCTTAGTTTTGRTTTGTATTTCTCTAATTGCTAGGAAAATGTTTAAATTTATATATAACTTAAATCAATACAACTGACATAATCTAGAAGAAAGTAGATACATGGATTATGCTGAGAGCAAAGACACTTTCAGGTCAAAACTGATCATTTGAAACAAAGTTGTTTTTTAGAAAAATTTCCTTATGTTAGTATAGACTACATGCTATTTGATAAGAGAGCAAAAGGAGTTAATTTTTTTTCAGTGCAATGTTAATTGGATAATTGAAGTTAATAATTCTCCCCCCCCCC